GCAGAATGGATGTTGGAAGTTGTTGGTGCTGCACCAGGTAGTCATGCCAATCAGGATTATCATGAAGTTTGGAGAAACTCATCAGAATACCAAGACACGCAAGGGGAATTAAACAAAATGGAACGTGAATTAGTCAGCTTACCTAGGGATGAATCACCTGAGGCTAGGAAGTCATATGCTACACCAATTTGGAAGCAATATCTCATTGTTACTAAAAGAGTTTTTGAGCAAAACTGGAGATCTCCAACTTACATCTATTCCAAGATATTCTTGGTTGTGTCTTCTGCTTTGTTTAACGGATTTTCTTTCTTTAAGGCTAATAAATCTCAACAAGGATTACAAAATCAGATGTTTGCTGTATTTATGTTTTTGGTACCATTTAACACATTGGTTCAACAGATTTTACCGGGCTTTGTCAAACAAAGAGACGTGTACGAGGTTAGAGAATCACCATCTAAGACTTTTAGTTGGTTTGCGTTTATTACAGCACAAATAACATCGGAGATCCCATACCAGGTACTTGTGGGTACAATTGCATTTTTATGCTGGTATTATCCTGTCGGATTTTATGAGAATTCAGTGCCCACTAATACTGTCGATGGCCGTGCTGTAACGATGTGGTTATATATCACTGCTTTCTATGTGTACACGTCCACCATGGCTCATGTGTGTATCTCATTCAATGAGCTTGCAGATAATGCTGCCAACTTAGCAGTTAACTTTTTCACAATGTGTTTGCATTTCTGTGGTGTCTTGATTTCTCCAGACGCAATGCCTGGATTCTGGGTCTTCATGTACAGAGTTTCACCACTTACATACGTTATCCAGGGTATGATGTCTACCGGTTTAGCTAACAACGAATTGCAGTGTTCTAGTACAGAATTGTTGAGATTTGAACCCACCAGCGGTAATACATGCGGTGAGTACATGTCCGACTACATCGCACAAGCTGGAGGCTACCTCATGGATTCAAATGCTACCTCAGAATGTGAGTATTGCACCATGAATTCCACCAACGACTGGTTGGCCACATTCAACGCATACTACAGCGAAAGATGGAGAAACTGGGGTATTTTCCTCTGTTACATTGCCTTTAACATGATACTTACAGTCTTCCTTTACTGGCTCGCCAGGGTTCCAAAAGGAAACAGAGAAAAGAAGAAATAATCCAAAACATTTAAACAAGAACCTCAGTACAAACATATAAATTCATACCCCAGAGCCATATCACATCCATAGTTTTTTGAACAAACATTTATACAAAATAGTAATGCAACAGTGAATGCTGCTTTTAATATAAACAATTGATAATAATTTGCGGCAGGTTTCGCTTGCATTTTCGCGACAAAAGCCATATATCGCTCTTTTTCCGATCTCAATTCTCGTATAACGGTATGTATAGAAGGCTATTCTGCCACCTACTAAATTTAGACGTACACGCAAATTACACCCTACCCTTCAATACAAGATAAGCCCCGTAAAATGTAATCGTGCAATTGGGTACTTCGTTTGTCTCGTTGACCGTCTGCCACCCTGTCACTGATGTACGGTTATATTTGGCATTCGATGTCTGTGTTCATCTTCTACAGCCGTCTCGTTTAACTAACCGTATAGGATCAACCAAAAGACTGTGGACATAGACTGTGCCAGGATTGAAGGTCGCCTCCGTTGCATAAGCCGTCGGCCGAACCCTAAAAGAGAAGAATCAGCCGCACACATGGCTCAGCGGCAGGGAATCTGATAAAAAAAAGATCCGTTCCGCTCTGCTACGACGGAACCACCATTAAAAAGCATCCCGTGTTCCGCGAATTCACCATTTTACTAGTAGAAAAGTCAAAAAGCTACGACGGAAACGGAGAAAAATTTATTCCGCATCCGACAAAAACATTGCAGTGTTATCAAATACGGGACCAAATTACCTGAACGGATTAAAATTTGTCATCTCGGGTCATAAATAAATTTCTTATATTTTTGTATGCAAAACAATACGAGCAATAGCTTTTTGATGGGGGTATATATATGTGGAAGAATAATTTTAGAATCTTAGCAAACAAAATTGGAATTATAATAATTGAATCTTAGATACTATTAGTGAAATGTCAAGTACATCTAATTCACTAGAACGGAAATCCAAGTATGAGGATTCGAACTCAGTTACTGAGTTCGTACCCTCTGCGGATCAAAGTTCTGTACATCAATACGAGGGATTCGACGATGCCACAAATGATATCAAGGAGTTGGCAAGAACCATGTCTAATATCAGTAGACAACAGACTAATAAGACTAAAGGTAGTGAAGATTTGATTCGTTATTTATCTCACATGTCGCAGGTGCCAGGTATCGAGCCTTATAATAATGAAATTGACGAAACCTTAAATCCGGATAGCGACAATTTCAATGCTAAATATTGGGTGAAAAATTTAAGAAAATTGCACGATTCAGACCCTGACTATTACAAACCATCGTCTTTGGGAATTGCTTATAGGAACTTGAGGGCATCGGGGGTCGCTGCTGACTCCGATTACCAGCCCACTGTGGACAATGCATTATACAAGTTAGGAGGTGAGGCATACAGATATTTGCAAAAAGACGATCCTTCTCGTTACTTCGATATATTAAAGAGCATGGATGGTATCATGAGGCCGGGTGAAGTCACCGTTGTCTTGGGTAGACCAGGTTCTGGTTGTTCCACATTATTGAAGACAATTGCGTCTCAAACATACGGGTTCAAAATTGGCGACGAGTCCAGGATCTCGTACGATGGTTTAACTCCAAAAGATATAGAGAATCAGTTCAGAGGTGATGTCGTGTATTCTGCTGAAACCGATACCCATTTCCCTCACTTAACTGTGGGAGATACCTTAGAATTCGCAGCTAAAATGAGAACACCCCAGAACAGAGGTAACATTGGTAGAGAGACCTATGCCAAGCATATGGCGTCTGTATTCATGGCCACATATGGTTTATCACATACTAGAAATACCAATGTCGGTAATGATTTTGTGAGAGGTGTTTCAGGTGGTGAACGTAAGAGAGTTTCCATTGCTGAAGTTTCGTTGTGTGGATCTAACATTCAATGTTGGGATAATGCCACTCGTGGTTTAGATGCGGCAACTGCATTAGAATTTATTAGAGCATTGAAGACATCAGCTACGATTTTAGACGCTACACCATTAATTGCCATTTATCAATGTTCTCAAGATGCATACGATTTATTTGACAATGTTGTTGTTTTGTATGAAGGACACCAAATCTTCTTCGGTAAGGCAGATGAAGCCAAGGATTATTTCATTAATATGGGATGGGAATGTCCACAAAGACAAACTACAGCTGATTTCTTAACATCGTTAACCAATCCAGCAGAAAGAACCCCAAGACCTGGATTTGAAAATAGTGTTCCTTATACTGCTAAAGAATTCGAAACCTACTGGACGAATTCTCCACAATACAAGAAATTGGTTGAAGATATCGAAGAATATTTCCAGAAGACTGAAGGTGGTCACCACGGACAAGAATATCACCAAGCACACGTTGCAAGACAATCTAATCATATTTCTCCAAAGTCTCCATTCACAGTTTCGTTCTTTATGCAAACTAGATATATCATGGGTAGAAACATTTTGAGACTAAAGGGTGATCCATCTATTGCTATTCAATCGATTTTTGGTCAAGCAGTTATGGGTTTAATTTTGTCATCGGTTTTCTACAATTTACAGCCTATAACAGATTCTTTCTATTATAGAGGTGCTGCTATGTTTTTTGCTGTTTTGTTTAATGCGTTTTCTTCCTTATTAGAAATCATGTCGTTATTCGAAGCAAGGCCTATCGTTGAAAAGCACAAACAGTATGCATTATATCGTCCATCTGCTGATGCGTTGGCGGGTATTATCACTGAATTGCCTACCAAACTTTTGATGTCTATGAGTTTTAATTTTGTATTTTACTTTATGGTACATTTTAGACGTGATGCAGGGAGATTTTTCTTCTACTGGTTAATGTGTTGTATGTGTACCTTAGTGATGTCACATTTGTTTAGATCCTTGGGTGCTGTCTCTAACTCTTTAGCGGGTGCTATGACACCAGCTACGGTTTTATTGTTGGCCATGGTTATTTTCACTGGTTTCGTTATTCCAACTCCAAACATGTTGGGCTGGTCTAGATGGATTAATTATATCAACCCGGTTGCATATGTGTTCGAAGCGTTAATGACTAACGAGTTTAGTGGTCGTGATTTTGAATGTTCACAATTTGTTCCGTTTGGTCCAACTTATGAAAACAGAAATAGTATTCATCGCGTTTGTTCTACCACTGGTAGTAGACCGGGTTCAGAAGTTGTTCGTGGTTCAGAGTATCTTGCCACGTCTTATCAATACTATGCTTCTCATAAATGGAGAAATTTCGGTATTACTGTTGCTTTCGTAATATTTTTCTTATTCATCTATATTGGATTGACTGAATTTAACAAGGGTTCCATGCAAAAGGGGGAAGTTGCATTATTTTTGAAGAGTTCATTGAAAGACCAAAAGAAGAAATCGGATAAATCGGCAACAACCTCAAAAGATATTGAAAACTCTGCTATTCCAGATGAAAAGATTTCGCAGAAGGATCAATTAGAAGCAAATAAAGAAATAGAAGCAGCTGAAAA